ATTGTTGGTTAAAATCCAAGTAAATACTAGGTCATTTCCTCTCCTGTATAGGCTTCTGTGTGGGAATGTCTATGGTAGTCTCCTGTTCTATCTGCCTGTCTCTCTCTGTCTCTGTTTCTCTCTCTTATCCCTGTTCTGAAACTACCTTTCACTCCTTCAACCACCCTGCCGCTTGAAATAAATCTTTTGCATGAGATCTGTTGTGTGTTGTTGTGATTTCTGTGGCATTCATTGGCTCCAATCCACCAAAGTACTCCTGCCACAAGACTCTAACAAACATCCCACAGCCTGTAGATCAGCACAGGTCCTCCTGCAGCAATGCCACAGAATACTATTGGGTGACCAGAAATCATGCAAGTGAATTGGGAAGAATTCATTTGGAGAAGGAGAAAGAGAATGAGCTAATCTTTGAGTCCTAAGAAAGCATGGCATGTCAGTGCAATTACGAAACCTCCTGTCTCAGAGAACAATATTTTAATTGGAGACAGAGCAAGCGAGATTGCTGGGCAGAGAAGGGACAAATTATAGTATTTAAGTATATCTAATAAAATACTTATCTAGCATTGTCCACTGAAACTGGCTATTTAGTAATGAGTATTCAGTAATGAGGAACATCACACGCACTCAATTTTCAGTCATTAATAAAAACACTGAATGTGCATGGCAAGAAATAATTAAATGTATGTCAGAACTTATATTAAGTGTTGGGCATATATTAGGTCATTTAAAATGATAAAGAACCTCATGTCAGAATTGGGCATAATAAGGTTATGATAAATGGAACTGTTTAAACAAATCCTAATTATAGTCTTACTCTTCTCCCCATTGTTTAGCTCTAAAATTTACTAACTTAGAAATTCTTAACCAAAAAATAAGAATGTCTGACCAGAACATCAAATTCACGGTCAATGACTTGTTCCACATTTTACCACCTGAAATCTGTAAGGTTTTAGGCATTGTAGGAGCTCCATATTTATAAAAAATTAGGGTGTCTAAACAACAACTATTGAGAATTATTCACTGTAAATGTTTCCATTTATCTGTATCTATGCATACAGGTATGCCTAAATATAGTGATCATTAACATATGCATCAGGAACTGCTAGATGGCTCAGCAGGGAAAGGCACTCCCTGTCAACCTGCAGAGCTTAACCCCAGGATCCATGTGCTGAAGGAAAGAAACGCCTCTCCTCTCACAAGAAATGAATCTTCTGATTACCCCCTAAACATCTGGCACACATTGGTTCATGTACACACACACACACACACACACACACACACACACACACACACACACACACCTAGCTGTAATTTTTAAAAAATGCATATTATACCCCACAAAATTCACTTCAATGTAAAATAAGAATCATGTGAAATCATTAGCAAATGTGATAAAATTAGAAAGAAAGTCATTTTTGAAATCTTTAGCAAAATAATGTCTATAAGATGCAATTCTTGAAAATAATAAAACACAAAATTTTGCTAGAAAATTATATGAAAGTCTGAATCACTTCAAGCCAATGATCTTTTTTAAAAACAACAAAAAAGGAAAAGTAGAAACTACAGTACTCAGGTATCCTGGAATGAGTACAACAAAAAAGGAAAAGTAGAAACTACAGTACTCAGGTATCCTGGAATGAGGATTTTCTATAAAAGAAGTTCTATGTCTTATTTTTGTTTTCTGCTGTGACAATAAAAAAATACTGTAACAAAAGCAACTTAGATAAGACAAGTTTATGCTGGCTCACAGTTCAAGAGTTGTAGCCCATCATGGTGGGGAAGTCAAGGCAGTAGGAGACTGAAGCACTTACCCCACTTCCACAACTACAAAGCACAGAAGAATACATGCATGTGCATATACACCTTGTTTCTCTATTTTATAAAGTCCAGAATCTCATGTTCTGGGAATGGTCCCAGCCACAATTAAGTTGAGTCTCCTCACACAAATCTGTCTAATTAAGCATGCCTAGAGGACCATCTCCCAAGTAATTCTCGATTCCATCAAGTTGACAAAAAAATTCCAAATAGCAAACAAAAAAATGACTAAAGACCTGCTTAGTAAGAGCCATGGAGAGTTGCACATTTCTATAATCTGGCACTAGGGAGGCAGAGACAAGAAGTTCAGGAATTCAAGGTCAGGTTGCCAAAATAGCTCGTTCAAGACAAGCCTAAGCATTTTTCATCTCCAAATTATCACTTTGGTCCAAGCAACATCATATGTTTCCTTATGTATTTCATCACTCATCTAATAGTTTTTTCAATTCTCAATCTAATTCGTTCCTCATATTGCATCTCAACAGCTTGTATATGAAGATGTTTTAAATTTCCCTGGGATTACATTCAAACTGCTTCAAAACTTTTGCTTGTCCAAGTGTATACCTTACATTTCATCTCTATTGCTTTGTGACTGCAGGCACCTTACAGATAGCCCTTAGAAGTCTTGAGAGTGTTATTCCATTTCCAATCGAAGCTTTAATTCAAGAACATCTTCTATAAAAATTTACACTCCTGTCTTTCTACTCTTAATTCTGACTCCATCACTTGTGTCTTGAAATATTTTTTCTCCCAGAAAACATTCTTCTTCAACTCTACTAATAATGAGTAGACCCACCTACATTTTTCTTCATAGAACTTCTTTTATAGAAAATACAAAAAGTTGTTTAATTCAGAAAAAAATCAAATATACATTGTAAGGATTCAGTCACCATGCCCCTAGCACCCAGCAGAATGCACTCAGGCAGTACCCTGGTCAGCCCAGTGTTCCGTGAGTACTAGTTTGCACTCAGGTGCAACAACCTCTGCCTAATTAAGCTGTCTTCCTGCTCTTCTCTTCTCCTCTCTTCCCCCTCTCCCTGTGCTCTCATTCCCACTGTTCCCCTGGGGCAGACAGGACTTTTCCTGTCTCCTTTTTCTCTTCTGTCCTCTCTTTGTGTCTCTTTATGTCTTTTCTCTTTCCTTCCCCTCCCTTCCCTTTCTAATAAAATTTCTCACTTAAGCTCCGTCTGCCTGGCTTATTTGGCTCTCGAGTTGGTCACCTTCTCGCACCATGACAAGGTCCCATGGACAAGGTCCCCCTCGAGCTTTATCATAACATACATAGCTATAACCAATAAAATAAATTGCGATTAAAAAAAGATATTCTTGACTGTTGTGAAAACTGTCCTTTTTTACTTACTATAACATTCAAATTTTGTCCTCACCAAATGCCCAAGAGATTATCAATAAAAACGTGCAGTGTGTTTAGTAAGTTCCTAGCTTTAACACTGTAGTATTGCATTAAGTCTGTCTTAGGGTATACAGTAGTAAACCAGGATAGACGGTCCATTATCACATTCTGGAACTTGAAGATACCTACAGAATATACATCTAGAGATAAGGGAAAAATGTGTAAATTCCAGTACTAGCGATAGGATTATCACTTAGTAAGCTAGAGAAGGCAATGGACTGACTACATTGATGAGGACCAAAGAGAACTGTTAGTTTAAGTGACTCAAACCCTCTGAAGAAAATAAAGGCAGCAAACTGCATTTAGTCTGTCTTCTAAGCAGGCTCTACAAATTCAGAAATAGACTTGGGAAAGAAAAGGTAAAGCATGGTGGGGACTTTCTAAGCAATTTTGCAGAGATTGCTGACAGTGGAACAAGTGAAAGAAAAAGTTGTCAATTAAATTAAACACAAGAAGCTGAATTCCACCAGCAACTAGATGGGAGAGGATTAATGAAGGTCACAAGTGGCTACAAGTAATGCATAACAAAAACTCCCCAGGGTAAAGGAGTCCTGTGTTAATCTCTAAGGGGAGAAAAGGAAAAAAGGACTAAGCCTCCTGAATGGGATCATGTGAGAGCTTCCAGACCCCAGCAAGAGACAGTTTCCATGGAAACTTCCCTTTCCCTGCACCCACAAGCTGCTCCTTCAACCTGCAAAGGCTGCCTTGAATCCCAAGAGAATACTATGGAGGAGTCAACACATTTTAAAACGGAAAGGAACCCTAGGGGAGAAGTGAAGACGCAGAGCAGACTGACACTCCGGTATCATCAGCAATGTGATGGTTTTATCTAGATCTCCTCTGCTCCAGGGTTCAGACAGAATGGTTTCCTCAAACCTTCATTTCCTTCTCCCTGCTCTCTAAATTCTGACAGTAGCCCTGCTTTTAGTGTGAAACAGCACAGGGAAGGAATCCTTACAGGAACCAGTGTTACTTGACCATTCTCATTCTTCTGTAGTTCAAAGCATCCAATAATTCCATTACTGACTTCCAGAGTTTATGGGTGAAAGAATAGCATGGAGAAAGAGAGAGACAGACAGACAGAGAGAGAGAGAGAGAGAGAGAGAGAGAGAGAGAGAGAGAGGTGTGTGTGTGTGTGTGTGTGTGTGTGTGTGTCTTTTTTGAATTGGAGAACTTCCACAAGCAATTTACCACAATAACAAAGTAAGCTACCTTTGTAATAGTCAGAAAATTCATCAAGGTAATAAAGGAAAATTGAGAGGTACCTGTTTTAGTGTGATAATTTCTATAAAATAATAAACTCAGCAGTAGTCAGATGTAAGCATTAATCTATGAGTTCTGAAAAAAATCTTTGCAAAGGGATTTCTATGAATGCTGTTATCAACTTACAGTCCCTGAAGGCAACAGCCTTGTGTTCAGAATCCAGATGTTTCTTGATTTTTATTCACAAGAAACAATCTACTCTTGATATTATTTCTCACTTGCAAATTCCAGTCATTGCTAATTTCGTTTCAATTAGAATAAAATACCTGCTTATGTCTTATGTCAACCTCATTGTGGGCTCTGTGCAAAACTCCAAGGAAAATTTAGTCATGTGCTTTCCAGAAGATAAAAGCTAAGGGTAAAGATTGAGAGTATCTGATGTAGGAAGAGGGAGTGGTTATATAGGTCTTAGCCAAGACATGTGATAGTCACTTGTAGGGGTTGCTGAAAAAAGAAGTCTGTGACTCTCGTTAACCCATTTAAGCAGATCTTGGACCATCTAAAGGGGAAAATGTTCCTGGCTGTTTTGTATTGCCTTCTGTGGAGCTTCCAGATCTCTTCTGCCCACTTCCCTCGAACTTGTGCCTCCGTGAAGAACTTGATGGCAAAAGAATGCTGTCCACCATGGACGGGTGATGGGAGTCCCTGCGGCCAGCTTTCAGGCAGAGGTTCTTGCCAGGACATCCTTCTGTCCAGTGCACCCTCTGGACCTCAATTTCCCTTCAAAGGGGTGGATGATCGTGAGTCCTGGCCCTCTGTGTTTTATAATAGAACCTGTCAGTGCTCTGGCAACTTCATGGGATTCAACTGCGGAAACTGTAAGTTTGGATTTGGGGGATCAAATTGCACAGAGAAGCGACTCTTAATTAGAAGAAACATCTTTGATTTGACTGTCCCAGAAAAGAATAAGTTCTTTGCTTACCTAAATTTAGCAAAACATACTATCAGCCCAGTCTATGTCATCCCCACAGGCACATATGGCCAAATGAACAATGGATCAATACCCATGTTTAGTAATATAAGCGTCTATGACCTCTTTGTATGGATGCATTACTATGTGTCAAGAGACACCCTGCTTGGAGGTTCTGAAATCTGGAGGGACATTGATTTTGCCCATGAAGCACCAGGGTTTCTGCCTTGGCACAGACTTTTCTTGCTATTGTGGGAACAAGAAATACAAGAGCTAACAGGAGATGAGAACTTCACCATTCCATACTGGGATTGGCGGGATGCCGAAAACTGTGACATTTGTACAGATGAGTACTTGGGAGGTCGCCACCCTGAAAACCCTAATCTACTTAGCCCAGCATCCTTCTTCTCCTCCTGGCAGGTAAGACTGACATGCAGAGTTAGAGAGGAAGGTTACTTCTTCATAAGTTCTCTGTGAACAAATCTCAGTGTAGAAAAAGTCCCTAACTAAAAGATTCTTATGTCTTGACTCTTTTTAGAACAACAAAAAATCACAATTAATGTATATTCATCTAATATCTAATAGCATAATTAGATTTCTAATCTGCTATGAACAAAGCCTGCTTGGTTCACCACTGTATTGCTAGCATGTAGGATGGTATCTGGCATAAACAGTAGCTCAGAGTTATTTAGGAAGGGGTGAGTAACCAGATTATCTTAGTCCATGTTTTTGAATAATAAAATTAATATTACCAATAAAATACATATGATATACTTTTAAAAATGAAATTCCTGGCACTAACACAGATTAGTTAAGCAGAATCTTCAAGGGAGAATGCTGGAATAATTCACTAAGTATCAATGATGACCTTTATTACATGAATTCTTGATAAACACGGATTGGATACAAAGTCTTCAGTTGTTTTAATTTAAAAAGTAACTAAAGTCTACTGAATGAGTATTTAGAATACGTGAATCTCTATTGAAAGTATTTATATACATTAACTGATTTAATGTGCATCTAATATCAACCTATTCCCCATCTTAAAGCTATAAGATATACATAATTTGTTAAAATTGTAAGACAGCACTATTAGTAAATAGCAAAGATGGTATTTGTTCATGGGTACAATGGATACATGACTCACCCCTTTATTTTCAGGGACAAGACTGGCCTTTTGTAAAGATCCAGCTATGATATCTTTTCTCATTAGGATGAAGAAGTTAGCCTTCTTTCTACTTTACAAACATTAGAATTAAGTGGTTGCTCCTTTGATTTGATTCCCATTTCTCCTATTACTTTTCTTCATTCTGGATTAGAGGCAAAAGATAAAGAAAGGAATGTTAAGATTTTTTCCTTTAAATAAACTCAAGTGTGAGATGTTTTTCTGTTTTTTTCTTCTAAAAAATTCATAATGCAACTATTTTATCAATTCAAACATGATGAAAAGAATACTGTACAGCCTGCCCGATACTTGACAAATTTGAAATACAAATTCACTTTATCCCTGATGCTCACACACTTCCAAATTGGAGCCTCTCAAAGGTGCAATTGTAAAATACAGCTGCTAGTTTCTGGTGTTGATGGTGTCAACTGTTTATCTAACCTAGTGGTACTTTATATGGAGGGACATTGCTGGAAAACTTTATTGCTATATGCTTTCAGTTATTCTACCTTAATTGATGAACATCAAACCCCTCATCTAGCTCTCTACTTTCCTGGCTATTGTTATAAATTATGTCATTCTTGAATGAGGGATTCTCTTAGATATACAATATTTGTTTTGCTACATAGCTTCACTTGATATAGAAAGGTTGGAGGATCATATAAATTATCAAAAGTTGTAATATATACACTGAGTTCATTAAGCAGATATAAATTAATATTTAATTACACAAAGAGTCTACTTCCATATGATACCCAGATTTAATGTTTTTAATCATGTTGTGAGTATTGAATTCATCCTATGATTACAATCAACTCTATGATTTTCTTATAAAACAAAACAAAATAGAAATTTAAAGCCACAATATACTTATCTGACTTAATTAGCCATGAACTATAACTGCTACAATATTGACTATAAACTTGTACTGCAATTATAGTGCTGTGTAGGAAAAGGCCTTTTACATAGAATTAGCAAGGTGAAAGAAAAAAATCACTGAAAAAAAAACAAGCAAAATAAAAGAAAAAATAATTAGCAAAAGAAAAGAACAAAATCTTTGCAAGCAAACAACATTTTAAAAAAATGAGGTTAAATGAATAAATATTTGCTCTACCTAAGCTGAACACTATTCAGGGATACATAGTTGCAGACAGGCTAGATAAACTAACTCATGTTGTCTGATTTCTTTATTCATACAAACTCTCCTGTTAAGGTACTTCAAAAAGGAATATTTTACTCTCATTGTCCCTTCCCATTAGGAGAGGGCTGGAAGGCTTGAGAGGAGGGTATATGATCAAAACACATTTTATGCTTCCATGGAAATATCCTTAGGAAAGCCCTGGTCAGTGAATATGCACCAAAGAACAAGAACTATCACTTCAAAAGAAAACTGAATAGTCACATACAGAAGTAAAATCAAAGCAAATTAGAAGTGTTCGGGTCTGGAAAGATGTCTTAGACATTAAGAACACTGGTTATTCTATCAGACAACTGAGTTAAATTCCCAGTACCCGAATGGCAGTTATAGCCATCTGTAACTCTGTTCCTAGGGCTCTGACATTCTTTTCTGGCTTCCCCTGGGTACCAGGCCAATATATGGTGCACAGACACATGTGCAGATAAGACACCTATAGACATAAAATTATGAATGAATTAATTAATATTTACATTGCATTAATTCAGTCGCTCAGATTTACAGCCATCTACAATTTTTGTCATTGCTCTGTAGTTGCTTGAACATCAGTGATCTAACTACTTGCTGGAAACACAAAATCAACAGATTTATTGTAAAGTTCCACTGTGCATTTTTGTTCATTTGGGAAGGAGTTCCAACACTGTAGCCTAAGGCTGAACCGTAACTCACTCTATAGCCTAGGCTGGTCCTTAAAGCACGGCAATCCTCCTGCCTCAGCCTTCCAAGGGTGCTTGTATTTTAAAGCACTTTATGTGGCTCTAATTTTCAGCCAGCACTAAGATTTACAGATTTTAATTAATATGGAGATTGTTTAGTTTTCTCTTTCCTTTATAAAAACACACTTTTTGTAATGAACACACCATTAATTTGAATGCTTTTTGTCTAAATTAAACATTCAAATTAAAAACTATATTGTTTTGTGTTAGACGAGATCAAATAGCTTCCAAGTTAAAATGAGCCTGTTAATACCTTCCAAATTAGCTAGGCTGATAGCCCATTTCATATGGGCTTCTCCTCATTGATTGACTTAAGGGATTTCTTTACAAAAGGAGATGTTAGAGATTGAACAGTATTTATCCATTCCAACCTGAGAGATCTTTTGTGGTATATCATGGGATGCTCACATTTTATAAATAATAGACCTGAAACAGTAAGAGGATGTGTGAAGAAGAAAACAAAACAAAACAAAACAAACAAAAAAGAAAACTCCTGAGTGCAGAACCCAAGTGGCTGTGTCTCCATTTCTATTTAAGTAAACTGTGTTTATATGTTTAAAGCAGTCTAATAAGAAACTAATTTGTGGGTGTATAATTAGATAGGTGCTTACTTTTTCTACCTTAAGTTTTCTGGGTTTGATTCCTTGTACCCATAGGATGGCTTACAACTATCTGTAACTCCAATCCCAACACCAGGGGAACCAACATCTTTTTCTGGCCTTTATGGGCAAAAACACACACATGGTCCACAGACATGCATGAGGTAAAACACCCATACACATAAAAGGTAAAAAAAATTTCATATGCTCCAAACACTGAGAAAGAAAAACACTTTTATTTATGGCAGATAGAATTGATTTCCTTCTCATTGTTCCATACTTTGTGCAGATTTATCTCACAGCTTCTGTAATATTTCAGAACATGTGAATGGTTTATTAAGCCCAACTCTGCCTACCACTGTCAGATTCTCCAAGGTAGAAACTATTTATGAAAATATATATATATATATAATATATATATATAATAAATTGGATTTATGAAAATATATATATATATATATATATATATATATATAAATTGGGACAATGATAAACAAACAGAATGTGCTTCAAAAATACATGCTGAATTGAACAAAAATGAAAATCAGAGAAATTTAATTCTTATCCTGATGGATTTCTGATATCTCAGCCCATATTTTACAGCACTGAATTTCCAATGTGAAAGACACAAACATGCCAACAGACAGTATTTGCTTAAGTACTAGGATAAGACATTCTGTGACGTGCTTGCTGGTCATCGTGTGTTTGTTTGTTTGTGTGTGTGTGTGTGTGTGTGTGTGTGTGTGTGTGTGTACATGAAAATATATGGTATAGATAATAATACATCTAAACAATCTAAACATTATATGAGATGAAAAAATTACCTGGCAATCTTTCTCTGAGAGGAGATAGAACATACAATCAAATAATTAAGGTTAATTTTCTTAGAAATAAGGTTTAATGTGCAATCAGTCTTTCCTATTCTGTTATTCATTTCTTTGCTTATTCTCAAAAACATTTTCAAGTAGCAGCATACCTGTCTCCATTAAAATAGTCCAGTAATTTTTAGAAAAAGGAAGGTGCTCAATGACATTTACATACAAAATATATATTCTGTGCTCAACACCATTAGATATAATGTTATGCAAACAAGAGAAGCTAAACTAAGAAGAAAAGGTGTGTCAAAGAGAGCTGTCTCAATGAATCACAACTGAGAGGAAAACAGTTCCTGATAATAGATGTGAGTGAAGGGCAGCCAGGGAATTCACTCATCAGGTGGAAGCATATCACATGGAAGCCACAGGGGAAAAAAAAAACAAAGTCACATTTCAGCAGACAGTCATGGGTTTAGGTAACCATGACAACAGCTCCACAAAATAACAGCTTCTCTTTTTTCTTTATGAAAGATTTCGTGGAATGTCATATGGTTTAGTGTTTTCTTTTCTTTCTTTCTTTTTTTTTTTCGTGAAAAACTCAAATACCATAAAGAACCTTTGCTCCTGAAGGTTTTTAAGAGCTGGTAGTTTGTTGCTGCATCCTACAATTGAATAGAACACTTATCAGGTTTCCCCTTCCATACTCATACACCTGTGCCTTCTGTGTTCCTTTCTTTGCTTCTTTGGACTCAGATATTTGAATTTGCTTCTCTTAACATATGCTACACATCATATGTGGTTGGAAGGAAAAAGAACCAAACTTTCAACCAGAAGACTTGACTTCAGTCCAACTTCTGACATTTGCCAAACACTACTAAACAAGCCATTTAAAATTCATGAACTTTAATATTTTTCAACAAGAAAAGAGTG